TATGTGTAGAGTAGGACGAGGTATGTGTTTCTAGAGCGGGTTGGGATCGCTCAGCGCTGTTGAGGCGCCAACCTTTAGTAAGCACAATAGAAAACTCACTTGTACAGGTAGAATCTGGAGAATGACAAAGGCTAGCTCCCAGTCTTTGGAGCTGGAATTAGCCAATGACCTATCGAAGCGCGCCTCAGGATTCCAAGTGGCTGGTCGCAGGCGATGCCTCTCCGTAGTTTAAGGAAGTCAATAGGCTTGTTCGAGCGGTATCCCCCTGACTCAGGGTTTATGTATATATAAGAGACTCCAGACTATCGGCGTCTGGATCCTCGCCCTTCTTTTTTTCGCCCTTTCCTCCGCCATACGCTTTGTTTGATTCACGCCGACTGTTGAGCAGGATGGTTCTCAGCTTTACACAATTATTCTCTGGCCGTCCCTCGAAGAGAGACACTGTCGTCGCACCAGTTCCGCGCCCTGCAGCCGTTGCAGCCTCTAGAGTCTCCAAGCCTTCGACCAACGGGTGAGTCGCCTTCGCCTTTCTCCCTCCCGCTCCAATCCCTCGCGTTGACGCTCTCCCTCGCAGGCATCCTCCCACTCTCTTTGGATTGCTCATCGGTATCGACAAATACCAGAATGCTAAATATCGACTCGAAGGTGCGGTGGAAGATGCAAAGGCGGTGGAAAGGTACTTGAAGACCACTTTCCCGTCGTCTCGCCTCCGCGCGCTTCACAATCAAGACGCTACACGATCCGCCATGATTCGCGAAATCGATTATTTAATCAAGAACAAAGATATTAAACGACAAGATCCTATTGTTATTTTTTATGCGGGGCACGGTGGCGAGACGGTGCCTCCCGCTGGCTGGGATACCCAAGGAAAAAAGATTCAGATGTTTATGCCACAGGATTATAATGACGATGCGGCCGTCATTACCGATCTCGGCTTTGCCACTCTGCTCGAAGAGCTCGCGTCCGCACACGGAGACAACATTGTGAGTATAACGGTGTCTATTTTTGGCTTTGCTGACATTCTCGACTAGCTCGTCATTTTGGACTGCTGCCACTCTGGCTCCATGACTCGAGGCGTCGACAACACGGGCAATGCTGAGAGCACCTCCCGTCGTACTAGGTCCATTCGCGTCACGCACGAGCTTCCCGATGACGTCGATAGAGACATTTTCCGACGCAAGGGCGCGCGGTCTATCGCCGTACCTACCACCTTCCAGTACAATGGTGTCGCCTCGCACGTCTTGTTGGCCGCCTGCGCTGCCAACGAGCTCGCTATCGAGGAAGGTGGACGCGGTGCCTTTACGAGGGCGCTCCTCAAGACGATCAACGATATCGGCTACCAGAACTTGACCTACGAAGAGTTCATTCGTCACCTTCCTACCTTGCACAAGCAGACTCCCCGCTGTGAAGGTGATAATCGCGGTCGCTACTTTTTCGACACTCAAGCCCCAGCTCGCGACAATTCGTTCTTCGAGGTGCAAATGGAGGGCAATGATCTCGTGGTCAAGGCGGGTACCGTTCACGGTATCGACAACATGACCGAATTTGCACTGTATCAACGTCGTGACAAGAATAGCGCGCCCATTGGATACTTTACAGTCCGTAATGTAAAGGTATCCTCCTCGACGCTCAAGGTCAACCATTCGTCGCAGTCTATCGCCCTCCCTGCGTACGCCATGGCCGTCAAGTCCGTACGTGTCTCGTACACTGGCAAGTCGGGGCTCAAACAAGTCCACGCTGCTCTCCAAGGAGAGATGGCGACAAATGACCCTCGCTTGCAACAGTACGCCGTCGTCCCACGCGACCAATCCGCCCTCGAGATCGACATGTCTGGCGACCGCGTCGTATTCAATACGGTCAACCCTCGTCTTCACGCCCTCGGATACTCTCGCATGCCGTTCCGCGTCAAAGCGGACGAACCCAAGATCATTCGTAGTATCATCCAAGCGGGTAGCGAGTTTGACAAGTTTTTGCACCTCGAGCCGGCTACCCGGAGGATCAAGGATTATATCAAGGTCGAGTTTGTAAAGATTATGCGCCCTGCGGATCGACATTATGGGCCGGCTGTGCGAGATGCGAATGGCGTCAACTTGTGCAATGGTGACCTGGTCCAGATTCCTGCGGGTGATACGTTGTATGGGATCAAGATTATCAACAACTCGTCGCAGCAGCTCTATCCCCACTTGTTTCTCTTTGACTGCAGCGACTTTAGTATCGGTACGTGTCACTCTATATGCTTTCTATTCACAACAACTCATTCTGTCTACAGAGTCTTTCTATCGCCCCCCACTCGTCACGTCCGAAGACAAGGATGCCCCCCTCCAGCCTAACGGCGGAGTCCTCACCATCGGCTACGGAACCGGGGGCGAGAACCCTTGGAGCCACTACGTCCGTGACGAAGAGGTGTTCCAGAGCGGAAAGGTCACCCAAGACCAGCAGAACCTCGACGTCGGCGTCTTCAAGTTGTTCTTGACGACCAAACCCGCAGACCTCTCCTCTATGGAACAACAGTCTCCATTCTCCGGTGACTACCGCGCGGCGAGAAAGTTGCAATGGGACGACGTAGAGGACTGGGATACGCTCTCGGTCTTTGTTTCGGTCCGGAGATGATCACGTTACATGATTGTCTAGCTCGTTCTATGGGCCAGACCCTTTATGACTTCATATATACCCTCTTCAATTTCACGTAAATGCGGCTTACTATACATACAATGTACTATTGTGTATAACTGACCCGCCATTTATGACTATGTACGAGGTTTACCTGTATATATTGTACGGCCTCCGCCCCTGAATTCTATCCTGATGGATCCAAATGTATGGATGGCAGAAGAGCGTAATGTCCAATCTCAAGTTCAGAGGAGAACTGATGGGCGCTTTTCGTCACGACATTTGTTCACCGGGCG